TATATATTCATAGAAATATGAATATGCATATTCAGAATCTCTGATAAAAGAGTTTAATGAAAAAGGGATTTTATTTGGTGAGAGTGGATTGCCAAGGGTAAGTCACAACACAGTCTGTTTATTTGGAATTGCATGATTAATCATGAAGGACTGTTTACTGATATTCCACAGAATCAATCATGGAATGTTTTGCTTGGAAGAGACTTCAAATCTCATCTCATTCCAGCCCCTGCCATGGCAGGGACACCTTCCACTGTCCCAGGCTGCTCCAAGCCCCATCCAGCCTGGCTTTGGACACTGCCAGGGATCCAGGGACAGCCACAGCTGCTCTGGGCACCCTGTGCCAGGGCCTGCCCACCCTCCCAGGGAACAATTCCTTCCCAATATCCCATCTAAACCTCTCCTCCTTCCCTTTAAAGCCATCCCCTGTTTTTCTATCTCTACATACCCTTGGAAACCTCATAATGATGAAAAGAAAAGTAGTTCAAGCAATCCCAAAGCAAAGATAAAGACTGAGTGACTAAGAACATCCTCATCCCTGTGTCCACCCTGTGTTCATGGCATTCCTCAGCTGAGATTACACACTAACAGAATGAAAACAATCTGAAAATACCTTAGGAGAAAGCAGCTGAAGAGGAAAATACTCCAGGGGTGTCCTCTGAGAAGCACAAGAAAGAATAAGCACATTCTCTCCAAGGAAATTGCCAAGTTACTCTGGCATTACATAAGCTAATTCCAAAAACACCTTTTTGAACTGTATTAGTCTGTGTTGTCCTTTAAAAGAGAGGCATTCATTTATAATCCAGAGAGAATTTCAACCCCCAAATCTGAAAAAACCCTGAAAATTGGGTTTTTTAGAACAGCCAAAGTTCTAATAGCTTCTGTGTCTAAACACCCAAAACTATTCCATCTTGGAAACAGAGTAAAAATGAATTAACTCATTCTGATTCTTTTTACAAAGTGCTGAATCTTTTTACAAAGCAGAAAAATCAGACACAATCTTTGAGGAGACATGGCTCATAAATCTCTGCCTTGGCACAGAATTGCAGGAAGATGGATTAATTCCATGAACAGCACAAAGGAACAGAAGGATAATAAAAGTGGTAAAGAAGGCAAAGGAAACAGCAAAGACAAAAGGCCCTTGTTTAAATTCCTCAGATTCATGAGTAAGTAGTGCATGACAGCTATCAATAAGTGTGAGAAACTCACTCTAAAGACGAGTCATGTGTGGACTTCTGCCTTCTCCAGGTGATAATGGCCAAATCATTTTGTATTTTTCATATATTTCAATGGGCTCCCACATCAGACAGGCAGGTGCTCAGCAGGAGCTATTTCATCACGAATTAACTGCTGGGCTCAGACTCAACACGAGCCTGTCAGTTCTTTTAACACAGATTTCTCAGCCCAGTGCCTGGCAGGAGCCTCCTGTCCTGTCCCTCCATCCCTTGTCCCAGTTCTTTCTCCAGGTCTCCTGAAGCCCCTTTAGGCACTGGAGGCTGCTCTGAAGTTTCCCCAGAAACTTGATCACACTCCAGCCACTGCTCCCTGTCACTGACAACACCAGGAGCCACACGGGGCTGGACACCTACAGCATGGGAAAAACACCTTGAAAATGTACACAACCAGCAGCTCTGCAGGGGCTGGAATGCCTCAACTGCTTAGTGACACTTAATTAAAATCTTTAAATCACTTTGCTAATTAGGAGGTGCACTCTGGCCCGGGTTGGTGGCTGTGGATAGCCAACCACTCTGAGTCCAACTGCAGCACAGATCTGGCTCATGATTCAGCACCAGAATCAGGCTCTCAATCAGAACAAAAACTCCTAAAAACATGGACTAAGTCAAGGAGAGGAGCCCAGGAACCAGAGCTCAGAACAGCACAGGGAGTGCTGGATTTATCTAATTACACTGCTGATGCTTTTTGCTGGCAAGCTCTTTAGCAAATACACAGCTATGATAAAAGAATTGCTTCATGCTGCTACTGCAGAAGTTAATTAAGATTTGTTTGGTGGAACAAAAGACAAATCAGGGTTGGGGAAAAAATCAACATAATTTTCAGTGTTTCTGACAGCTGGAGTGAGTGGGTTTTAAGATAGATTAAATGTAATTATCCTTGTTATTTTTTCCTCTGTTGATGCTGAAAATGACACAAGATTATGAACTGTAGGACAACATGCAAAGCATCGTTTTGGAGCAAACTGTTCTCTTTTTTTTAAAATATGTAATAACCCATAGTTTTGTTTTACCATAAAGTAGCCAAAGTGTGGAAGCACCACCTGAAAAGCAGATCAAGACTGAAAGAAGTGATAGATACATCCTTGTGTTCCAGGATGGCCAGAGATTAATCCAAAATGGATTGAACAGTGCATGCCCTCACTGGTTTGGAAGTAGGAATGCACCAGCAAGTCTCTTGCTTTAGTTGGGACCCAGATTAGAATCGTGGAATGGTTTGGGTTGGAAGGGACCTTAAAGCTCGTCCCACCCCTGCCATGGCAGGGACACCTTCCCCTATCCCAGGCTGCTCCAAGCCCCGTCCAGCCTGGCCTTGGACACTTTCAGGGATCCAGGGGCAGCCACAGCTTCTCTGGGCACCCTGTGCCAGGGCCTGCCCACCCTCCCAGGGAACAATCCCTTCCCAATATCCCATCCAGCCCTGCCCTCTGGCAGTGGAAGCCATTCCCTGTGTCCTGTCCCTCCATCCCTTGTCCCAAGTCCCTCTGCAGCTCTCCTGGAGCCCCTTTAGGCACTGGAGGCTGCTCTGAAGTTTCCCCAGAGCCTTCTCCAGAGGAAATTCTTGACCCTCTTTCAGTCTTCAAGTCCTGGAGTTTGATTTTGAGGACTGACATCTCATAATTACTTCAAATTCCAGTTTGGACTCCAGCACTTCTGAATATTTAGCTGGGAGAGAAGCACACAGAGCCCCCTTTTCTACTCCAAAGCAACAACTTCTGCAGCAAAGCACTCGTGGCTGCCTGAGTCACTGTACTCCTGCCCACAAAGAGATGCTCAGAGTCTCATCCTTTATATGTTCCAAGTATTTTTAGGTGCAACTGATAAAAATGTGCAAAGCAAAACAACATCTTTTTGTCACCAGCTTTTATACTTTTTAATACTGCATTAGGCTGAAGCATTGTTCCCTGCTTATCCTAGGAAACCACAAGCCAAACCATATGGGTAGGGTCCCAGGAGTCTCACAGAAAGGAGAAAAAAGGAAAATAAAGTGTGTTCTCCATATTCTCATCACGGCACAGCTATGAATGAAAAGGCCTTTTTCTTTGTCTTATTATCTTTTAACAAAAATCCCCTGAAGAGCTGAGCACCAACCCATTAACTAAGTTCTGCACTTGAATTCATAAACAGTTTCAGGTAGCTCAGTTCAAAGCATTTCTCCTTTGGCTGTGAAGTCTCAGTTATTTGAACAGAAGAGATAAATCAGATTTTAGTCTTCACTTCAAGGTTATGATTTAATTGAAGACTTTTTTTGAAGGGGGGACAAGGATATGGTGAAGAACTGGAACAGAGAGCTAGAACTGACTTCAGATATAGGGTGAAAAAACATCAGTGCTTGTGAAAAGAGGGGCTTGATGGGAAACTGGTTCACAGGGATTAACAAGTTACCAAATGCCCACACCAGCTTTGAAAAGATATTTTATACCTCAGGCAAATAATGCAGCAAAATACCTAAGGCTTCTCGTGGCTTTCCCTGTGTCCAAAAGGTGGTGGTGGTGGAATGAGGAAGCATTGATTAATAATGGGTTAATTGGCTGCACTGATGAGGCCACAGCTCCAGTTGTGGGCCCCTCACAACAGAAAGGACATTGAGGGGCTGGAGTGGGTCCAGGGAAGGGAACTGGGGAAGGGTCTGGAGCACCCTGGAGAATTCCTGAGGGAGCTGGGAAAGGGGCTCAGCCTGGAGAAAAGGAGGCTCAGGGGGCCCTTCTGGCTCTGCACAACTCCCTGACAGGAGGGGACAGCCGGGGGGAGTTGGGCTCTGCTGCCAGGGAACAGGCACAGGACAAAAGGGAATGGCCTCAAACTGTGCCAGGGGAGGCCCAGGTTGGACATCAGAAGGAATTTCCTCATGGAAAGGGTTGTTAAACACTGGAAGGGGCTGTCCAGGGAGTGCTAGAGTCCCCGTTCCTGGAGATGTTCAGGGAAAGCCTGGATGTGGCACTCAGGGCTCTGGGCTGGTGACAAGGTGGGAATGGGTCCCAGGTGGGACTCGATGTCTCAGAGGTCTTTTCCAACCCCATGGATGCTGTGATTCTGTAATTCCAGGTGCAGCACACCCAGCAGCACTAAGATCCCAGGGACAGGGTTCACTCAAACATGTTTAAAATAAAGAACAGAAGGTAGAGTGGGTAATGACAGTGGGAAGGATGACAATAAAACAAGACGCTGCTGGAAGTTGAAGGAAAGGCTGGCTGAAAGCACTGCAGTCCAGTAAACACCCAAAGAAAAGTCTGGAACAAAACAGGATACAGATGCAGATTATCCATGAGGAAAGTCACACTGAACTCAGCAAGTCAAGAGAAGGCAGAATTCTGCCAAATAAAACTGAAGTCTATGAGGGGGAAGATCCCAGCACATCTGATCTCACTGATGTTCTCAGCTGTTTCCACTGATGCTTTGAGGAGACTGAAGAGCCTCATGCTGAGAAACTCTTATACAGCAGACAATAGAAGTAAGCACATCCATTGTATGCAGCAAAAGGAAGATCAGAAATTCTGAAAACATTCTTCATGAACAAAACCCAGTAGCTGAAACTGAGTCAGGGGGGCAGAGACTGACAAGAGCCATCACTACACTGCTGTAACTTCATTAACTGAGAAAATGCAGCTGTGCTGTTGTGCTTGGCCAGGAGCAGCCACAGTCACTGGACTGTCCCTCACTCAATCAGCTCCTGATGTGCTGCTTTGGAAAAGGGGATTAGGACATTTGCTGTTGTAAGACCAAGATCTGCAGGCTGTAGAGTCCTGCTGAGCGTTTCCAAACTCCTACCTCAAACATCTCCTGCTCTGTCCGTCGATGATCATCCAGGAGCTGCTCCATGTAGGTCAAATTTCGGAATTTTTCTAGGTAAGTACTGTACTGCTTCTGCAGCTGCTCCTCAATCTTCTCGTACTCATCCATGAAAGCAGGACTGGGGAGAGCAAGCACAGACAACTCAGTGAAATCTGCCCAGAGAAGCTGTGGCTGCCCCATCCCTGGAAGTGCTGAAGGCCAGGTTTTATGGGGCTTGCAGCACCGTGGGACAATAGAAGATGTCCCATGGCAGGGACTTGGAATGAGATGAGCTTTAAGGTCTCTTCCAACCCAAGCCATCCTGTGATTCTAGGAGTCTCTAAATATTGCTCTTTATATACAGAATTCTGAAATGCAATTTTGGTTTTGCAGCTGTGCTTCCATGTCCACAAAACCAAAAATCCTCTTGTTTTTAAGGTTTTTAAGGTTTCACACTGCTTCAGAGAATAAAAGCTCAAGACAATGCCCCTCACTAAACAATCCTGGGAATTACATAAAGCAAAGAGAAGGTTTTTGTGTACAGCTTCCTTTTCCTTTCACACAGGTACAAAGGCAGCATTTTGGCCCCCTTAGAAGGCAATTCTAGATTAATTATCCTGCTGTTCCATAACTGCACAAAGTTAGTGTGTAGCATGGCTGGTAAATCACCTACTTTGCTGGGGACTTAATTGCTCAAAAAGTGTCCTGGGTCATTACAGGTTTAATTAGACAGTATGATGAAGTGATGATGTCATTACACCCTGGAGCTGACTGATGCACCCCAAAAACCACTGCTGCTCAGCTGCTGCTGCTGCTCAGAACTTCACATCCACCCAATCCACTTCCTGAAGAGTGGTGCTGATAAAATGGGGATGTGAATCCAGGTCATTCCTTCCACCACTCCTTTGTCTTACAGTCCCTCCTTTTTACTTTTAATATTCAGATTGCAGATTGTATAAACCTGCAGGTTAATTAAGGGCTAGAAATCAACCCAAACTGTGAACCTGAACACTCCAGTATATGCAGGAGCTTACAAGGAGTGAGAGGGACTCATCATGGGGAACTGCAGTGATAGGACAAGGAGCAATGGGTTCACACTGAAGGAGGAGAGATTTAGAGCAGATATTGGGAAGGAATTGTTCCTTGTGAGGGAGGTGAGGCCCTGGCACAGGGTGCCCAGAGAAGCTGTGGCTGCCCCTGGATCCCTGGAAGTGTCCAAGGCCAGGTTGGATGGGGCTTGGAGCAGCCTGGGATAGGGGAAGGTGTCCCTGCCTTTCCCACCCAAACCAGTCTGGGATTCTGTGGTTCTATGAATTTTCTGGCAGACTGTACCAGTGCCCAGGCAATCTGATCTCAACAAGGGCTGCAGAATGATTTTTTTTTTAATTGGTGGTGAACACCAGAAGCCACTAGGAACAGAGGGACTGTTTTCACCAGCTCCATCCTTTATGTTCACACTCCTTCCTGCAGCAGATAATCAGTTCATGATCTTTACCGAACACTCTGCAGAGTCTGCAGCCTCTTCTGGCTTCTTTCCAGTTCCAATTTTCGTTTTTCAATCTTGGCTTCCAAACTGGCTTCATCCAAAGCCACATTATTCAACATGTCTTTAGTCTTTTGGACTTCTTCCTGAAAGAGAAGGATGATAAACAATGGCTGGAACTGGGATAATTAAATTTATCTTTCAGATGCTGAACATTGTTCTGGATAATCTCATCTGTGTTTACTCAAGTAGGCAGTGGAAATTCAAAGGTTCTTTGTGGCCAGGATAATGAACTAACTGGACATTTACAAATGTAAAATATCTTGTATTTTTGCCAGCATTCTTCAAGAAGGGAAAACCCCACAGCTGAAACTTTAGTTTTCCTTTTCACTGAAGAAGCAGTAGAAGGCAGGAAGTAGAATGATCCTTTGGCATCATTAAGGTGTTTTTGGATTTTAACTTAATGGAATCATTCAGGTAGTTTCCAACCTTAATGATTCCATGATTCTCTCTGAATAAAGAGATGAGAAATGCATTTGTTTCTTGGTACTATTTTAGGGAATTTTAAGCTTCCATCATTTTTCTTCTCTTTCGATATACAAGTCAGTTTTATAAAACACTTCCTATATCTGAGTATCTTCATCCTTCTCTAAGTTTTGCTTTATCCATTTTTTTCAAAATCTGGGCAGCATCTTGAACATGTCAACACATGCTACAGGAACCAGGAGGGGAAATGTGAATATTCCACTTGATTCAAATGAGCTGAGTACATGCAGTGTGCTCAGGCTCAAGAAACCATGAGCATGTTTAGAGGGAGAGAGGGAGGATTTCACTGCTGGAATTCCAGCAGTGAGTGTTGGTGCTGCTCAGTTCTAACAGGTCATTCCATTAACTGGGCCAGGATTAATGAACTGAGTGTGTGTTTGCCACTGCTGTTTGCCAGGAAGCCAATCCCTCTCTCCCACAGCTCTCAGTTCATCAGTTCTACAGCTGCAGCAAGAAATGCACATTAACAACATTTAATATTCACACAGGCTGTGAGCAGGAGCAAGACATAAGGGGAGATTGCCTGGAATCTCTCTTGATTATCCATTGGCTGTTTAAACCTGGAACTCCACTCTTGTAATCAAACACTTGGGCTGGGTTCAGTTTGCAGTGAAATAACTGATAGGAATCACTGGGGGGAGTGAATTAACCTCCCTCCTCAGACAGTGCAGCTGAAGGTTCAGAAATTCAGGAACCCAGGCACTGGAGCAGGGACAGTGCTGGCAAGTGCAGGACAAAGAGTCCTTCACACCACAGGGATGCCCTGGCAGCACCCTCAGGAGCACAGTGCCAGCTCTCCTCACTCAGCCCTTGGCCAGTCCCTGACTCTGCAGAGGTCACAGGGCTCTGACAAGGTAGAGGCTGTAGATTTCTGTGCTGATTTGGGCAATTTTTACACCTCCTGTAGAGATTTTGGGGTGAAGCTCCTAAGATAGGCAGAGAATATAACTGCAATGTATTTTCCCCCACAAGAGGGGCTAAGAGCAGCTCTCAGATGCATCAAGTGCTGTTGCAGGTGATGGCTTTGGCACTCTTTACCCCAAGGTGATGATAAAACGAGGTAATTTCTTCTTGCAGCAGAAAAATTATAGTTTTACAATCAAATAAACAATATTTTGCTTACCAGAACGCTGTTAATGGCAACTTTCATCACCTTCTCAGCCTCATTTATTTCCAAAGGTCTGGCAATAGATTCTGTCCTTGCTTCCTATGAAATAAAATGAACCAATATATTTAAACACTACACAAAGGAACTAATTTATGCAGAACTGAAGGTGATCAAGCAACAATGATAGGATCATCTGCATAATAAATGAGGCAGTATTTAGTGTTTATTCTGGTCTCTAAATCATCTCAGATAAAAAAAAATTAAGTGGGTTGAGATTAGCAGGAGGGAGCAATCAAGGCATCTTTTCCAAATGAGGTGAGTGATAGGTCTGACTGCAAATACTCTTCAAGGCAGATTTTTGGCAACTGCTCTGATTTTACATGAGGAGCAGGGCACAGAAGATTCCATCACCTGTGGAATGAGGTGTGGAACCCATGAAAACACCAGTGCAGGTAGAGGAGCACAGTGTCCCAAAAGTGTGGAGCTACAAGGACTACAAAGCCACCAAACTGTGCCAGGCAGGTGGACACTGAGCACTGACCCTGCCAGAGCTCCAGGAGCCTCCCAGGCACAGGCTGGGATTGTGGGGTGTCCTGTGAATGATCCCTGTGGGTCCTTCCCACCCAGGATATTCCATGATTCCATGTGCCTCCCATGCCTGTGTGAAAATCACATGCTGCAGACATATGGGCACCTCTGCTTCTGACAACTGAGTGAGTCAGACTCCTCAAAAACCCCACAGTGATCCTTGTTTAGATCCCAAAGGATTAAAAAACCTCCCCTCTCAGCAGTTATGAAGACACATGGGCTTAGGTGTGCACTTGTCTAATTGATGCCTTAAACAGTGACCTGGTCATTACATAAAAACTTCAAATTACTTGCTTGGCACTGGGAGGGAGAAGAGGGAATTTTGCTGTTCCATGTCCCTAAAACAATCTTACATTGGCAAAACACTTGGTAACAGGTGGGTGAAGATGGAGAAAGCATCTCTCCAGAAAATATCTGATTAAGAACCTAAAATACTTTGTACACTTTGCCACAGGCCGTACCCAGCACACTACAGGAGGAATTCTGGAAGCAGATCCAGTAACTTTGCTAAGATGCTGTGCCAGACTCTCCAGATTGCACAGCTCAGCTCCAGCAGAGCCTGCTCCCTTCCCACCAACTCCAGTCCATGGAATTGCAGGGTGAAGCCAACCTGGGAGCTCATCCAGCAAAAAAATAAAAGCAGCTTTTTGTGCTGAGCTTATTCCTCTGCTGGGTCAGGCCTCTGAGCAATCCCACCACATGCTGCACAAAGGCTCATTGTCCTGGCATAAGAAAAGAAGGAGAACAAACACTCTGCTGGGGAGAGTGACAGGAGTTACATCTGTTGGTGGCACTGACTGCTCACACTGCTTGAAGTGCTTGTGAACATCTCTCTGTGCACAGAGAAAAACTCCAAAGCAAAAGTGAATTTGGGCAGAAATAAGATACAAAACATCAGTGCAATACAAATTCCCAAATAATTCCATAGGTAGATGGTTTTGGAGGAGGGTGGGGAAGAATAATGTAGCTCAGTTGCTATTCTGGGAACATTTAGCATTTCAGCAGCTCAGTAAAATTACTGTTAATTTGTGAGGCCTTTGCCAGCACCAGCAAAATCCCTGTTTATTTGTGATGCCTTTGCCAGGCCCAGCCTGGTGCAGACACTGCCCTGCCAACTGCACTGGGCTCAGAGAGTCTGTGCCACAGAGCCAACACACTTCAAACAGCAGAGGAAGGGGAATTATTGTCCTTTCCACTTGCAAAGAGGTCAAAGGAACAGCAAGGGCTGTAGTCTGTAATCTGTAATCATACACAACTCCCTCACCAATTCCTCTCCAGCAGCCTGGTGAAACACCCAGAACATGCACAGGGCACTGCAATGGGGCAAGGCAGGGAGCTGATGGGCTTGGTGAAACTTCTGAGGATCTGCCCTTTTGAGTGGAATCATTTATGCAAATTCAATGTCTTTCTTCCTTCTGTCTTCCCTCTAACAGCCCTGAAGTTTCATGTACACATCACAGTCTTCCACAGAACTCCACATTGTTTTCTACAAGGTCAGTCCTACAGCCACACCTGCCTGGAAAAATCTGACAGGGAAATGCTGAGCAGTGGAAAGGCAAGAATTTGTATCCTCAGACTGTGGAATCGGGGTTAGACTGGAAAAGGAGAAGGTCAGGGCAATTAACCCCTCACACCCCAAGAGATGGAGAGGAGAATCCTCTGTACACACAGCTCATCCCTAAAACTCTGCCTTGGAATGGGCAGAGTAACTTCACTGTTACAACACTGCCCCTAACCTAACTTTGACTCTCTGGAGTAACAAGTCTAAGTGGAAAAGATAAGAAATTTGATGGAAAAATAGTAATATATTGTGGAAATATAATGGAAATAAAGTCTATCAAAACCACTGACTGTTTTTGTGGGTGGATGTCTGTCACAGCTTCCCTGGGTAACAGTCACTGGGCCATTTCCTGTTACCCTATGAACACCCACAGAGAGGAAAGTTTTATCTTTAATATCTCTTTTCTAGAAGGACCCTTTGCAAATTCACCTTACTGGGAACCTGTCCCCAGGAACTTCATTCACAGCTAACAGTGAAGAGCCACTATTGCCAAACCCATTCTGCAAATATGCCCGAGGAAGCATTTTCAACTGGTAATGGAATTCCATTTGTATGGACCAAAAGCTGATAAAGCAGCTTCCAGTGTGCCTGATGCATGGAAAAATGGATGCATCCTCCTCCAAACTGCAGGAAGGAACCAAGGCAAGTAATTAGGCATGACCAGCATGCAAGTCACTGATGATAAATGTGATGTAATAACATGTTCTGATGTGCCCAAGGTCTAGCAGAGGTTTCTAAACACCTTTTTTTTGTGGTAAGGAACAGAAATTAAAGCTTTTTTCCTAACACACTGGTCTTGCTGTGGCTGTCCCTGGATGCCTGGAAATCCCAAGGTCAGGCTGGATGGGGATTGGGGGATCCTGGGATAGTGAAGGTGTCCCTGCTCATGGCAGGGGTGGAACTGGAGTGATCTTCTAACTCAAACCATTCCATGATTCTTTTTCTGAGTTTTTGACCACAGGTTGAATTTTCCTTTGTTTCCCAGGAGTTCTAAGCCTGATGCAGACAGGAGTTTGTGCACTCCTCTCTGCCACTCCAGCCTCAATCCAGGCAGCCCCACATCCCCTGCTCCTTGCAAGCAGGGCCTTGGCAATTCCAGCTGTCCATGCAGGCCACAAAGCTCTCCTTTAGGAGTTTATTATTCATGCTGGGATCACATTTGGCCAATCCAGGGGATGGATGATTTGGCACTGTTATACAGGAACAGGAAGGCTCATGAGGGACATTAATCCTTCTGAAGGAATCTGACCCTTCCCAACAGTTCCATTTTCCCCTTCAAGACATTAAAGTCACAGTAACTGAGAATTTTGCTGTTTCCAGACTATGCTGCTTGGCTTCATGCTCATCTCAGCAGTATCCAGAGGGTGTCCACAAAGACCTTTTCCTCCTCAGCAATGCAGAGCCTCAAATGCCCCAAAACCTCAGCTATCCCAGTGTGTAAAACCCATGTCACAAGGAGGTCTGGGAGAGAGAAGCAACTGGAAAAAGTAAATTTTCAATGGATCAAAAAGAATCAAAAGTAACCTGCATGTGGTTCTGCTGAGGCAGGAAAGGGAACTTTAAAGCTTTCTGAGAGGGATGAATTTACACTGCTCTGTTCCCTCCCTCACCAGGTCCATCCATCTTCTGGCTCTGGAGCTGATGCCAATGATTCACCCTCAGCTCACAAACCTCAGGATGTGCCTCCTGTGATCTTTCCACACCTTCATAATCCTCACCTTTCATTTACTCTGTGTAAGATGTGAGGCACTGGAAAAGTTTCTATCAGTCCTCAGGACTTTAAGGGGTCACTTCATGGCTCCCTGGCCAGGAGCTGGCCTGGGATGTCTCCTCCAGACTGTGGAAGACAAGGAACTTCTTGCTCCAGAACAGAAGCTCTAAGCTTGTGAGTCAAATTCCAAATACAATCAGCTAGAAATGGCCTTGCATAGACATTGCTGGTTGGTTTACAAAGGAAAAAAAGAGCAGGGTTGGAAGACACCTGCAAGCTCACCTCATTTCAACTCCCTGCCATGGGCAGGGATGCCTTCCACTGGACATAACCAGTCCCAAAAATTCCAGGAGAAATGTGCCAACCACTACTTTACAGCTGATACTTTTTCTTCAAGCTGAACACTCTTGGGAAGGTCATACAAAATAATTTCTGACTTTAAACAATACACACAACTGCAGTTCTGGTTAAAGCAATCTAATATTGATTCAACACTTGGATCACAGGTGCAAGGGTTAATTTTGGCTTCCCAATTTGCAATAAGCCCTCTTCCTCAAAGTGCTAGGGTTGGCTTGGGTTAGAAGCAGGACTGCTCAATAAAACTGAAGCAAACCAAGTAATTCTCTAGAGTTGTGGCAATTTTAAGTTACACATTTCCACTAGAAGTTCTACGTGTGGCAGTTCTGTAACCAAAGCCCAGGAAATGAGAGAAATTAATTTTTCAGCCTCCCCCAGGCAGTGTCTCGTATCCAGAAGTAACATTTGGCAGGCGGAAAAATGCCTCCAACATTCCCAATAAAATGATTTTTTGCAGTTAAGTTCCAAAGAGCAGGGAGTGCTGCAGCCATCTCTGAAATCACATCTCCCTCTCCCCCCGAGCAGCAGCGGCAGGAGGGGGAAGGAAGGGAGGAAGGGCACTTTGATCCAAAAGCTGGGAATAAAGAGATCTAAGTGAAATGTCCTTAGTGGCAAGGCTTTGTGCTGAACTAACACTGCCTCAGTTCCACAGCTGGGTATAAATGCCTTTGGCTCTCTGAAGAGTTTAATTCCAGCCTTTCCCAGCTGAGTTGGTAACGAGATTCTCGGTGACTCCCATCAGTTTGGGAACAAACTGGTGCTGTGGGCATCCATAACAATAACAGGGAGCAGTGCCCTGGACTTGCTGCAGAATTTATCCTCCACAGAGTGGCAAACACTTCATGTGGCTGTTAAAAGCTTTAATCTACCAAATTCAGCAATTCTTTTATTTACAGGAGCGGATACAGGGAATAAACACTTTGTTCAAGGGCACAGATGGGGTAAGTGCCAAGAGGAGCAATGGAAAACAAACCCACTGCATTGTCTATCTTCAGCACAAGCGAAAAGCCTTAAAAGAAAATATTATTTGAAAAGCCTTAAAAGAAAATATTATTTTCATTTTTCTTCAGTTTTACAGGGCTTCTAGTTAATTAAGAGGTAAATAAAATTAAAACAAGCCTGAGAAAGTCAGAAATCTTTCTGCCTGCCAGCAGCACAGAGGCAGTTTTCTTCTGGGTTTTTTTTTTTTCTCCATTATCTTCCCATGTCCAATAATTCAGCAAGTCTGAGCAGGGCAGCTCAGGACAGGCTCCTGCTAGTGTGGCCCAGGACCTCTGGCAGAAGCAGACTGGGAGGCACTCAGAGTTATAAACAGCCAGGAATTTTTCCTTTTGGATTTCCCTTGTAGGATAATTCAAGAGAACCCTTCCTCAGCTGAGGACAACTGCCTTTGAAAGTCTCATTACTGCTTTATTTTGAGCTGGAGAGTGACTTGGACCAGCTCATCACCCCTCCCTTCCCCCAAAGGTTAATCTGGCCATTTCCCCCCTTTCTTGCCAAGTTTTTAGGATACAGAGCACCACTGGCTTTTCCAACATCTTTTTCCATGTACAGAATGACAGCTGTGTCATCCCAGAAAAAGGAATGCATAGGGAAGCAATGCTGCATTTTGCCTGAGTGCTGACATCAATTCTCTTGCTATTTCTCTTGATTTGGGGTTTGACAGCCGTAATCACAGACTGGTATTTTCAACTTCTTCTTTTCTCCATTCATTAAGTACCGTGTGGGAAGACAGAGAAAGAAATCCAAACAAAATCTCTCATCCCCATTTCAAATCCAAATCAACCCCACCTTCCCTGTGGAAAAAAAACCACCCAGAACTCAACTTGCCTGGTTACTCTTCCAAAGGTAACTGTAAATATTCTGAAAATTAAAGTTACATGGCAATGAAATGCAGAGAAAGTGCCCCTGGCAGGAAGGGAAACAATAAAAATGAAGATATATTTCTCCATGCATGGAATTTGCATGGAATTGGCTTTTCATTTAGGGATCTCACTGTGCAGTACCAAACTCATTCATCAGCTCCACTAAACTACAAATCCCAATTGCAATTTCTGTACTCCAAGATTAGACCAGCAAGACTGGAAGCTGTAAATTACCTTCCAGATGTAATGCTTAAAAGTGTTTTAAAATACAAATTCTGTGTCTGCAGCACTGCCACAGGACACCAATAACCTGCACTGTGCTCATCCACAGCTGGGCTAGAAACAACACAGCTCCCATGGAACTCAGTAATTGTATTTGGGATTTATCTCTGGAAATACAGCTTTGGGGGTTGTTTGGAATATTTTCTCCCACATAACACCACCATAGTCTGAATTCAGCACACCCTGTAGGTTTTGTTTCTTCCTCTCCTATTAATTAAAGATTCTTTTTCAGCATTATAGATTAACTTGGGAAGCAGTTTAAATATACAGAAGAACTGTATATTCAGTCAGGGAATAAGGTATTTGCAAGGGATTCAGAAAGGCACAGAACCACATTTCCAAGAAATCAGACTTCAACTCTTTCCCAAAAATATGTACATACATTTGCAGCACTCTCTACCTCCAATAAATCTAAAGGAACTATTCCCCCAAATTCTTCTTTAGCTGAAATTTGTTTTTATTCAGAAAGTAATTTATTAAAAAAAGTGTTTCATGACTTGGAGCAATGAAATTTTTTCTAGTATATGAAGTTTCTCTACACAGTTTCTATACAAATTATGTGAAAAAAGACTCCAACAGAGAAGGTAAAGGTTGTGGAGCAAATTAGAGTCAACATTTCCAAACAAAATAATGAGTTTTACTTCACTTTTCCCCAATGTTCTTTCCCCAAAAGCTGCTCAGACTATGAAAACAGATCTAGTCAACCCATTAGTGCCAAATGCTGGCATTTCCTTTAGAGTTCCTGGAAAATGAAGCCATCTTCACTTAAGAGAAATAAGATTTATCATCAGCTGGTTGAAGCTTAGGTAGGAAGGGCTTTTATTTAAATATTTGGAAATGAATGGATTGGAAAAAGAAAGAGAAAAGAGATTCAGGGAACATAAAAACTCCCATGGTTTCAAATTCCTTTAAAAACTATGACAGCTGTTGATAGATTTTAGCACATGTAACATGTTTCAGGAGATAGTGGAATAAAAAATTTAAACCACACTGCTCCCCTGCCCTTCAACAGCACAAACCCTCTGGCAGTGCCACTTAGTGTGAGCATTAATTAGCCAGGCACTGCCAGAAGAAAATAACCAATGGAAATCAATAATCTGCACATTAAAAAGCAATAGAAGTAATCTTGGTTTAATGGCAGCTAATTTGGTGCTTACCAGCAAAGCTCTACTCCCCACCCAAAGCCAGAATGAACTTCAGTTCTTTCCCACCTGGAATGGGGTGGGAAGGGCAGGCAGAGGATGCCATTCCTGAGGTCTCCTGAGCACCTCTCCCTGAAGGATCCAGGGAGGTTGTGTAGATGAGGAAGGGCAATTCCTGACTGCCCTCAGCACTGACAAGAACCCCAGACCCAACAGTGATGAAAAAACCCAGCAGTGTTTGGCTTGAAGCCTCTCCTGTGATAGGCAAATTTCATCCTTTGAGTGAAAGGCAAAGTTGGGGGCTGATAATTAAAAACTACAAATTCTGCTGCAAAACAGGCTCCTATGACCTCCTAACTTTTAACCCGTTTGCTTTGCTACATGCTTAAGTCTCAGGTTTGTTGCATGTACCAAACTTGACATTTAACATGCCAGCCAAAACTGGGTCCTTCAGATTTAACAAATCACTGAAAAACCTTGGAACCAGCCTCAGATCATAAGGAATAGAGCTCAAAAGCCTCTTCTTCAGCTCTTTGGAGGCTCCCCCTGTGCTGCCACTGTTACCTGCTGTCTTTAGGCAATGCACTCAGAGTCACCTTTCCCAGGACAGCATTTCCTAAAGATAACAAATTCCATCTGCCAAACCTTTTTGCAAAACACAACCTGTGCACCCACACAGGATTAGCTGGCCCCATCTTGGGTACTCAGCCACAAGGAACACGTGCTCACTGCTCTCTCTAAGAAATCCAATCCTTTTAGAAATGGCACCTCTAAGTAGGCTCCCACTCCAGAGTTCTTAATGGCCTCACTGAGAAGTGGCTGCACTGAAGCACTTTCTCATCTCTCCATTTTTCAGCCCATGCTTTCAGCACACTCCACTTGTACTGGGCCCTTTGCCAGGGCCCAGTTCTAAACTCTGTGTACTAAAAAAACCTTGATTTCAAGTGGCTAAACAACACCCAATTCAAACCAATGCTTGAGTACTTTTAAAAATGTCTGAACTGATCTCTATTTGACTTTTAGCAGTTACAGGGATGGGGTACTCAGAGCAAAAGGGTGCAATGCTCCACTAAAACAAATATTAACATATCACACAACAGCTGTGTGAAAACTCCTTCAAAACCAAGAAATTAGGCAAGAGTGCAAGAGGAGAAGTAACTGATTAACAGTTGTGTGACACTGGTGCATGTTGAGTTAAAGTGGATTATCACTTCTCCCTCTCTTTTGAGGTACAAACACCCTGCACAGCACAGTGAAGTATGGATCCAGCAGGAAAGGCAGTGCTCCATGGAGGAACTTCCCAGGGTATCAGCCACCCTTTGAAACACCTGTACCCCATCAAACAAGGCTCTGGGAGCATTAATTGTTGAGGCTCAGAGTTTACAGCTCTTAAGGGTGCACTCCCTACAGCTCAGACATCTGAACACTTCCAACACCATGCAGGGTCTCCCTCCTTTGAAGTCTCTTCTCAGAAAGTGAAGAATCTCCAGCATTGCAGATAAAGACACTGAAAAAAATAATGGCAAGACCTCCTGGCAGCGTGCACTGACTTCATACAACAGCTTTTGATTTTCCTTCTCCAGCTAAGCTCAGGAACATGTACCCTGCAGGCTGTGATGCCTCCAGCTCCTGCCACAGAAATAATGAGCCTTGCCCTTGGAAAACTAACAGCATCAATCATTTATCTGTTAGAATATCCATCCCCACCACCACAGCCTGCACATGTGCTTCCAAACAGAGAGTATTTCAGTGTTCTGCTGAAGAGAAAATGCCAAGCTGTTCTCTCAGGCTGCCTGCAGTCCAGCCATGAATAGGAGTAGGAAGGAAATGCAAACTGCCAGGCCCATTCCTTCAAACTCACAGAATATTCATGTCAGATGAAGATGTTAATATGAACTGAGACTTTTTTCCCCTTTTTTCCTTTGAGGCACTCAATGGACACAAGTTTTTCCAGGCTCTCCAGCATGTACTTACCCTCAGTTCCACCTCTTTGCCAAGTAAGTCGTACAGGACTGCTCCTTTGGAGGTGATTTCAGAAGCAAGCTGTCTAGCTGCCTTCAAGTCAGCAATCTGGGAACACAGCAACAGCACTGAATAGCAGGAGAATCCCCAACATCACAAAGAATACCCATGGTATTTCTCATTTTGGTGTCAAAATTGCACTGGAGGGCAAAACTCTGCCAGAGGTTGTGCTCTAGAATAAGTGGACAGAGCCTCTCTTGGCTTTGAAACAGTTCAGGTGAGGCCCTGTTGGGTACAGGTTTCTGAGAGAAACCCCAGATACTTTAGGCCAAGGAAAAAAAAAACCCAAAAATCTCCTCAGAACTGTGGCTCAGGCAGTTGTTGGTTCATGTGCTGCCCAGGACAAAGGGAAATATCACCTTTTTCATAGACAGAAGTAAAAACTTCATATACCAAAAGGAATGGGATGAGCCTGCAATGTAAGTAATGAAATTTTGAGCATCTACCAAGTGGTTTTTCCTTGTTTTTTCAGAGAGACACATCAGACTAACCCAGAGGAGAATCACTTGTGGGTCTGCCATTTTCTCAAAAATCACAGGAACTGAGAATCACAGAATGGTTTGTGTGGGAAGAGACCCTAAAGCCCATCCACTCCCGCCCGTGCCATGGGCAGGGACATCTTTACTTACAAAAGTAGTAACAGAAATTCCTCTTATTTAGCAAAGTGCTGGGTTATTGTTTTTTTGAAGTATTTAGAGAAGGTGCTTCTAAAATATCTAGAGATGGCTTTTCTTTTAAGGGCTGAAACAGCTTTGATGTCTGTTAGGGTCACAGGAAGACTTTCTTTCAATGCAAATGGGCTGAAAATCAACTTTCAGTCAGTATTTTGGAAGCTCCTTCTGTTGCAAAAGTTTAGTAGATAGAAAATAATTTTTATTCCAATGTAATCCAATATTTCTATGGTGTCCAAAGCATTTCAATACAAACAGAACCAATTTTGTGCCACTGTTGCCTTGTATTATGCTTCTGATTGAGAATTCAGAGATTAAAACAAATCACAGAACCCCACCAACTGGAAGTCTGATATAAAACCCTGCATACTGCCTTGCCAGAACATTCTCCATTTAAATTTCAGCCAGAAAACAGATGAGTTTTTCCCAAGTGAACACAAGAGTGCCAGTTTTGCTTACTTTTGAGCCCAGATCAAACTTGAACTTGGTGCTGTCCTCCTCGGGGAGGTCTGCACGCTCCCCTCCCTGGGTGTTCATGGCCCCGTAGAGCACCGAGGTGACCTTGAGCAGCTCCTTCACCGCGTATCCATCGGCCTGGTACAGCTTCTTCGTGTTCAGCTTGATGTGAGCCTTGGTAGCCTTGGGCAAGAAAGAAAGAATTCAGCAGTCACAAAGAAAACAATCCTCAGTTATCTGCACTCAAAGATCTTTCTGGGGGCACCAGGCTCTGCTGAACAGAATAATTCCTCCTGTTTGGACACCCAGTTTGCCTCATCATAATACTGGTATTACTAGAAGAATTTTTTTCTGAAAGCTGTGCGCTTTTTGCATGTCAGAACATTTGCAGAAAAACCCTCAAACTATCATTATTTCTTCCCTGAATAAAGATCTGCAAAAACCCTATGCACCACTTAAATTCAAATTAAGTTTAAGTGGAAGGTAAGTGCTGCCCAGGTCTTGTGATGATGCTGCAGAGAGGTAAATTTCACCCTTAATGAGTTGCAAGAATAAGATCAGTTATCCTAATTTAACTGTCTTATCTTCCATCAGCACCTTCCAAATGTTTTCTTGTTTCTCTCAATTTTTCCCCTGCTATGATATTAGTGATTTCATTCCCTTGCCTCCCATCTCTGAAAGGTACAGACAGAACAAAAAGGACAAAAACATTAAAAATTCTAAGATTATCTTTTTGTGCTTCAAAATAATAAAGAGGGAAAATTACTGTCTGTTACAAAAAGGGCATAAATGTCATTATTGAAATTCCTGGTAAGTTTATATTATAAATGAATAGCCACAAGGAGCCAACCACAAATTTCAGATTAAACTTTGAGGGAGTCTTTGTGGTGGCATAAATAAAGAAGGAAGCAAGAAAAAAAAATTATGATCACTAGTTACAGATCCAAAAATTAAGCTTAAAAATGACACATGAAGCACAAAAGTGACTTAACATCTTATTTTCAGTAGATTTTTAAGATGAAAGTTCTGCTAAAATGTTTCTCCTTTGGGAAAGCTGTAGCAGATAGAGCCTATCCATGAGTCACTGGTGGTATTACACAGCTTTGGTTTTGCAGTGTTCCTGGAAGGAATTCACATTCCCTCAGGCTCTGACAGAGTAGGATCTTCAAGCTGGGGAAAGAGACTCAGATATTACAATATTTGATACAATACAATTAAAAGTTCTGCATTGAGCTTCACTGAACGATGGACTGAAGGAAAAAATCCTATGAAACTAAAGAGAGAAAGCAGCACACTTCAAACCATGGATTTGGCTCCAGCCTTTCCAAAGAAACAAAGCAAATCCATATTGGCCCATGTTTATTCAGGTGTATTTTGTCAAAACTTTGTGACTTTAAAATCAGATTTTATTTTCCAACAAATATTTCCCCAAAATCTCAACCCAGCAGAGGAAAATGACTCTTTGTATGTGTTTGCAGAGAAAGGACCCAGGGATTGGCTGGAGTTGTGTTAGGAGAGGGTCAGGTGGGATCTCAGGAAAAGAACCGTCCCCCAAAGTGGGGGGCACTGCCCCAAGGCTGCCAGAGCTCAAGGTCCCAACTCTTCTGTGATTCCTGAAAATTGAAGCCCAAACTTCCAGAACAGGCTCCTGATGCTGTGCACCCTAAGCCAGGGGAAAATGCGACTCACAGCACAAAAGATCCCTAATTCCTTTTGAAATGCTGGTCTCAGAATGACCTCCAGTGAGCCAAGACACAAAGTGAAAAGCCAGGTATGTTCACCTCCCTTCCCTTGCAGTAGAAGCAATCTCAAAAATTAATTGCAGAAACAGCAAGTATTCCATTTTAGGAGAAGTGGTCATTAAATTGACAGAGTCTATTAAACATCCCCTATCCAAAGGGGACTGATGCACTAAATTATAAAGGATGTTGTTAGAAACAGGAGTTCCAATTTCTGCTTCATTCACCCTCAAGAGAGTAAAATCAATGTCTAGTAAGAGGAAAAAAAAGAGTTTTCATTCGAAGGCTACTTAAAAAGAGAAAAAATACACAGACAAATTTATTTTTCGGACTGGCACAACAGCACTGTGGAGTCAAGAAGACAACTTCATGTTTGGAAATACACCTCCATCACTTCATGTTTGAGACACCCACCTATTTGATTTGTTTTATTTTATAATGTATTTTTTCTAGTTTTACAGAACCATTAGAAACCACAGCTATTTATTCTGAAGATCAGATGGTTAAATGCAACAAAAAACCATAAATATACAACAAGAACAGTAGCAACAGCCAGAAAATTTGCTTAACTTCACAATCTGCTTCATTAATATCAAGAAGTCAAATCTGTCTGTGATGTCTGACTCTTGCAAAAGGTTTTGTGCCCTTGAGTTGCTGAATTTGTTTTCCTGAATGAATTTCTATGAGATGAACTCATATTTGTTGCACTCTACTTCAAATTTGGATCCAAGTGGGCTCAAGCAGAAGCCAGATATTGAGCCCCACTGATCAGGGCAGCTCTAGGGAGGGAGCTGATTAAAACCCCACCTAAGGTGACCTTGCAGGCACTTCAGAACTTTTGGGTCTGGGAAGGAGACATTTGGTAAATTCTCCAGCTGTCAGGAACACAGAGCAGTATCTAATTTGTGTGGAAAATTAACACCTCCCTCACTCCTTGTTCAGTAAAGCAGAGCAAGGCTCCTGTTACATTCCCTGGTGATTGATCTGTCCTGACATTCTCTTCTGAGGCAATTCTGTCTCCATCACATCTGCCCACGGATACATAAAGCCATTAACTCCTGGGGAAGATAATTGTGGATTGCATGGACAGTGAATTATTAAGGAAATGTCTACAAGCTTCTCTCATCCTGAAAATGCTGAAAACCTACAATAATGCCCACATTAACTTGTAATATTAACTGAGACTAAGTACAGGATGATCAAAGTAATTTCCATTCATTTCATTTTCTGAATCATATTATGTAATTCTCCAAAACCCCTGGGATTTCTGACATGAAATCAGCTAGTGAAAAGCATTACATTATTTCTGCTTCCAGACTTGTGCTTGGAGGGGGAAATCCTTCCAAACAAAACAGACCTGTTCACTCCATCTCATGAAGCTCCAGGGCTCAAAAGTACATTCTAATATGTACAGGAATGTACCCTGCTCTGAACATGACAAAATTAAGAATTAAGAGAATTTATGGTGCACACTAGTCACAGATGACAAGGGAAATATTGTTAAAATGACACTTTAATATGTCTTAAGTTCTTAAAAAAAGTGTTGCAATTCATCTTTGGTATTAGCATAAAAACTTCCATTACTTCCAGATCCACCTGCAGCCCCAGAAAGCTCTTTTCACATCATGAAGAGTGTTAATCTAAGTGTGTGATAACATCAAAGGCTCACACTGCTTCAAAATAACATGAATTATATGAAGAACAGTGTTGTTTTATTCCACAAGACTAAAAAAATTGATATCCCAACCTAAATATGCTCATGCATAAAAAAATTGATCTGAGAGAAGAACACATGCCTTGATCTATGGGAAATCTCATACAACATATACCATATATGCTATATCATAATGAAAACATCAGAAATTAGGATTATTCAAGCACAGGGAAGAATCAGGCATCCAAAGTTACCAATAACCATGGTGGGACCTCTTCTAAAACAATTTAAATAGTTTAAAAACATTTCCCATCTACAGCTGCGTCTTCCACTGTTAACTTTTATTTATAAATAAGGAGAGATAAGGGTGAGTATTGGTTTAAATCCCAATTTAGATGCCAATATTTTATTTAGATCCCAGTTCTGCAGAGAGAAGTACAGAATGTCAGTAACAGCATGCCCTGTCCTCTTCAAATTTCCACCAGCACAAGACACAGGATCACAGAAGCATGGAAGGGTTTGGGTTGGAAGGGACCCTAAAGCTCATCCAGTTCCACCCCTGCCATGGGACACCTTTCAGTGTCCCAGGCTGCTCCAAGTCCTGTCCATCCTGGCATTGGACACTTCCAGGGATAAAGCAGCACCAGAATGTAACACAAACTCAGCCACCCCTTGCAGGGAAACTCTGTGGGGTTAAGAGAAAAAGCTCTAAAGCTGCCATGGAACCAGGATTTCAGGTTTTCAGGATTTCAGCCCAAGCACAGCTCCTGGGCAGACTCACCATGAACTGAGCCACGGCTTTAATGAAGAAAACCCGGTCCTGCTCCGTCTCCACATCTGCAGGAATGTCACTCTGAGGTTCATACCTGTGCAAACAACAGCTGGAGATTAGAACAGAAGAGCCTGGTTCAGCTGTGAGGCAAAAATCAAACACAAAGTAAGCACGGACAAGACCGGAAAATAAATGTGTAAATTCCTGCTGCAGACTGGGGCATCCAGAGCCTGGAATGGACACAGAAGGGTTGTACAAACTGCAAGAGCTGTAAAACCTGACACACTGCACGAGCTCATAGCCAGACATCAGTTCAAACACACTCCTCTCACAAGTAAAGGAAACTTATGGAAAAACAAACTGAAATCTGTGAAATGCTTAAGAAAATCCATGAGTGAAATGCAGAAACTTCTAGAAGTGGCCAGTCTGCAGGAACCAGGGAAGAATAAAAGGAAATTCAGTGATTTGGACCCTCAGTGTAGTAACAGCATTTTAGAGACTATTTAAGCAACTTAATCCAAGTAATTTTGAATGCTTGTGAGTATATCCCTGTTTCATTACAACTGCAGGAGTACTCTGCAAATTTCTAACAACTTGGTAATTAAAGTTAATAGATATTAATTATTAATCTGGGCCAAAAAATAGTGATCAGGCAAACTGGTCAATGTTGGTTTCAATTATAATGTTCTACTGCATCATCTTTAAAAAAACTCCATAATTTTACACTTAAATGGGAGAGAGAAGTATAACAAATAATACTTCAAGATACAGGAATATTTAACCAAAGTCAGTCAATGGGTTGAGTGGGTGTAAAACTGCAACTAGACAGTAGCAGATTAGAACCAAACCATTTTATTTCTTTTAAACATGTTCTGGATGCAGGACAATACCACAGTGAGCCAACAGCTGTAGCAACAAGGCAAGAACTAGCTGGGTTTTGGTGAAGCTCCTACAACAGATCACTCTGTTTGGATAAAAGGTCAGACATGGACAGCACGGCTGTGGAACCTGGAGAATATGGGAGAGAGATAAGGCTACTTTTGATTTGAGTGTGCCCACCGTCAGAGTGCAACCTCTGCCAGCACTGTGTCACTGGGTTTGCTACTCCAGGCTGTGTCATTAAGCTACAAACCTGCAAGCTACCACATTTCTATTTGGTATTTCGAAGAGCAGTGCTCAAAGGGTGACTAAATATCACTGAGTTCCCTAATTTCACAGCACACCATCAGTTCCAAGCACACTCTCCACATCCCAGCACCAGCCCAAAATCTGTTTGCCTCATCACCAACCTTTTCACCAGCCACAGCAGCACTTCTGACACAAGCATGAAGTTTGGGGTGTGGAAATTCTCCATGGATATAAGTCGAGGATACCCCAGCGCCCTCATCATCTCAGTAAAATCTGAAAAATGAGGAAGAGCAGGGATTCCTTCTTATATATCCAATAAGGGCTTTGCCAAGATTGCCATCTCCTACAGAGTTATAGTTGCTGCTTAGTTACCATGAGATATGCCCGGTGCAAAATTAAACCTCAATAATTAACATAAATCATCTAATTTCAACAGAAAACACGCCGAAGTGAAAACAGGCATTTTTAAGGAGATTCACTGAGCTGAAACAAGGCGGGCACAGCCTCTCCCTGCAAACCCAGCATTTAATTGTGTTCGCCAGGGGCGGGGGGAATCCCGCCCGTGCAGGGCTGTGCCGCCCCCCGGCAGCGGGGACCCCCGGGTTCAGCCCCGCACCCCCGCCCGCCGGCAGTTCCATGTGCGGCCGAGCGGAGGCCCCCGGGAGG